CAGACGCACACACAGACACACAGACAACCTCTCGTCAATATGCGTTTTTTGCATTGCATTGCTGCATAAGGAATTCTCAAGGAATTCTCCCATAAAAATTGGCCAACGCACGGGCTGTCCGTGCGAAGATGCGTTTTTTGCATAGCTCCCCGCAGATTTTTTTCGCTCTCGACACTGGTTTTCCCGGCAGTAGCTTCTAGCTAAAAGAATTTCAGATCGACCGCCAGGACTGTCAGGAAACATCCCTTCAAAATCCCAGTCTTCTAGCTTCTCACTTTCCTGAGTCAGCAATTTACCCGGAAGAAACTTTCAAGGGCCCATACGTAGGTACCACGCTTACCTGCGGGTAGGGTTTGAATTCGTTAATACCTACTTGGACGGGGAACATTGCCATAAGGTTTCAGCGTTCTACCTTCTCAGATCCCCGAGTTATGAACTTACCCGAAAAAAATTTTGGCGGGCCTGTACGCAGATACCACGCTTACCCGGAGGATGGGTTTCAGTGTATTAACACCTACTTGGACGGGGAACATCCCTCTAAGGTATCAGGGTTCTAGCTTCTCAGATTCCCGAGTTATGAAATTACCCGGGAAAAATTTTGGCGGGCCCCTACGCGGGTACCATGTGGGCTATAGCGCTCATTTTGGGGACTCTGGCCAGTACGTGCATGTAGATTAAGTTCCCCAAATTTAAGCCCTGCAGATTTTATAGGTCTTGAGATGAAAGTGCGTGACAGACGCATACACAGAAACACGGACACACAGACAACCCCTCGTCAATATGCGTTTTTGCACTGCATAGCTGCAAAAAACGCATAAAAATAAACAGTCAAGAACCAAACACAGGCAAATTCAAACATAAGCAGTATGAAAAATCAGAAAACGGTCCTAGGAAGGACCTGTAAATTGCGTTTAACAATAAATATGTTACGATTAATGAGTCGCTCTGATGCCGCGGTGAAATAAGGCAACGGGCACGCGCCAGTCTATCAAACCCGGAATGCATATAAAAGCGGTTGAAAATTGCTTTCACAACGATTTTGTATGTATCGTTTTCATTACTGTTCATAACTACAATCCCACTATTAAGATTTACAGACGAAGGAAGAAAATGGCGAAATATTTTATCGCAAAATATGTTTGAACGGTGCCTGGGAATCAGTAGTTCTACAGTGTGTTATTTCCTGTCTTTTTTTATTTTTTAACTGAATGCATAACATTCATACATCTCGCGCTTGAACAATACGCCTGTTGTACCGCATTTTACTGAGTAAGCACTGTATCATATCGTGCCAAAAAAAAAGCAACAGTGTAATGTGTCAAAGTACGTACTGTCTCTAGAAAATTTTTAAAATTTTTGTTTCCTTTAGGGAAATAAGAAACGTTTTAAAAATACCTATAGAATCGATTTTCAACTCGCTGACGAATTGTGCTCAAGTCGATCGGATAATCAACATCCCATAAATAATCCGGATATTCGACGAGACTGACCGGAGCTGTGAACGGCTTAATGTCTGGGTCATTTTCTAAGCTTTTTATTGCTTCAATGATGCGATCGGAACACGCTCTGATACCCTTTACGGCACCACGCCAGTGTTGTTCATCAACTGGATATTGCGAAAACAGGACTTGATCTTCTTCACTAGCAATTCCTTCAAAAGAACAAAATGGAGTCGGCAAGTAGAAATACTCCTTTTCACAGTAAAAATACACTCGAACCCAGAGTTATCAGAAGAGTTAAACTTGTAATTCACGCGACAGGTGCAGAATCGTGCACGTCGCTGGAAATGGGACGCAAAAACCAGATAGGATATTGACTTAAAAAGAAATGAGCAATATTTTGTCAGATATGTGGAATTCTGTTCATGGAGGGCTAAGCCTGAATAAGATTCACATCTTCCTTTATCAAAAACACATAATAACGTATACAAACAAACCCAAATATTTCTAACAGAAAAGAAGGTAACTGTTGTATTTTAAAAAAACCTGAGCGACGATGAGGCAATAAAGGTTGAACATCCCATGGACTCATTTTTTCATCCTCACCAGTGTCCCATCTTACAGTAAGGCAATACCAATTCGACCTGAAACGCAATATACATTCATTTCACTGTTATATGTGAGCAATTTCTTAACTCTTAGCGAACCATCTGCTAGTGGTGCAGTAACGAATTGCAAGGGCATCATAATCATGTCGTATTTCAATGTCTACATCTGCTACTGTGGCTAATGCATTCGCAAAGCAACCACAGAAATCTCTTCGAATTGTGTTTTAATTGCTGATCACTCGGGTTGAAAAGCAGTAGGAAGAAACAACAAATTAGGCGCATTTTTAGGCTTAAAAACCAGACAATCCCCGAATCCTATGAAGAATTTTGAGAATTGTTTTTCTGCCTCTAACAAATCCAGAACCATAAAAATCATTTAATAACAAATGATTACAGTGACAGTGCTATCATTCGACAGCGACAAAGTGTTCTAGTCACTTTAAGACAACTAATTTTAAGTGCCGTAAGCAACAAACCTTGGGTAATTTTCTTCATCGTGAACTTCCTTTTTGTCGATGGTGCCCGTCCACCAGTGATTATCCAGGATTGTTTCGATTCGCGTTCCCGGTTGATAACGGTGTGCCACTGATTCATCATAAAGATGTCGCAGGATAATAAAATCTGGTACATTTTCCATGTCATGATATCTACAAAAAAAAAGACTAAATTTCTAGAAGACAATGCATGTGTCTAAACTGTATACTGCGTTGCACATGGGGAAGCTAGCACGGAGGTGGTTACTCTCAAGCTCGAACTCAGAGGCCAATATCCGCCGGTGGGACAACCAATCTCGTTACTTTACTCATTGGATCGACTCCCTTAAAACCTGGGCTTCCAGTACTATCAGTTTACAACTGATGAGAAGTGTTTGGTAGGTACTGTTTTCCCAAAATGCACTTTTACCGTTTGCCCTTTTTACATTATCAAAATTCCCCTCTTTCTTTTTGACACATTGCATGTTATTTTTGCTGCAGCCGTTACACTGACGAGGTCCAGTTGCAGCACTGAACAGGAATGTATGCGACTTGATGGACCGAAACATTCCTCTTCAAGTTTTTATTCCGATTTAACTTATTCACATTCCTTTTTATTCCCTAACTTTCAAACCCTTATTTTTTACATAAACACACATCACCCAAAATTCAAATTACAGTACCGTCTGCAGATTCGCAAAAAAACAACATGCAGACAACGAAATCGTCGACAGCCTTAACAGCGTGTCATTACAACGGAGAAAGTCTTCCAAAGCAACTTTTAGCGCCACCATTGCCCATAGACAATGAAATAAACGAGTTCTAATTTTGAAATCTCCTGCTACTCTCAGTAAATAAGGTGAAAACACAAGCAATTTTTAAAACTTGTCAAAAAAAGTATCACTAACTTAACAGAGAATACCAATCCGGTACGAACTCCAGCTGCACTTGTCTGAGCGAGCTTCAGTGCAATCAACCTGTACGGCTTCCTCAAATATTTCACCTGGAAAACTATGAACCAGTACTAATTTTCGAAGAGCGAAATTATCAAAGAAAGGAAAAATTCGGCTCCAGTAAGACCTGCGGTAAAAATTCAGGGAAGCATTTCAAAACGAACACATAAATATTTAAAGTTTTGGGGTTAGAATTTATGTAAAAAGCAGAAACCTCTTCAACTATGCAAAATTCCTCGGCATTGAGGTGTGCAAGAGGACGAAGCCGAGGCGTCACATAGTAAAGACCTCTCGTTTCGACAGCATTCAAATAAAATTCGTGCCCTGGAAAAACCGAAAGTATCGAAACCAAGTTTTTGAAAAAATACAATCTAGCAAATATTTCGAAACTTGTTCGCTACAAATCCAGTAAAGGGGGCTTACCTTGCCGGAAATAAACCACCTCGTCCTCCAGCTGCGCCACATATGGGAAGCGAAGGGGCTGAGTTAGGCGCATCCATCGCGGAAAGTCAACTTTGGCTTCATCATCACTGTCATCCGGGAATGCAGCTGATGAGGGCTGTTCAGAAAACGGGGAATCAGAAACGCTCGATGCATTGTCATCAATGAATGAAATTAATTCAGAGACATTCAAAGGAGCTGCTTTGACATTTGATGGACCTGGCTGATCGTCAGCATAATCGGTTGGCAAAAATGTTGATCGACTGGATTCACAGTTCGTCGCAGATGACTCGCGGAGTGGAAGATTGCCATCCTCCACCTCCTCCTCTTCCTCCTCTGAAAACGAATCTTCAGCTTTCGCACCAGTTAAGAACCACCCACTAATCTCATTACATTTCTCTATTCAGCATTATCCTCTCTACTTCGCCTAATAATTCGTCGTGACAAAAACGGAAATATTTCTACAAAACTTTCGAAAATCACACCTGTAATCACAATTCTCTGTCGTCTTCTTCGTGTTCTAGGAGGCGTAACGGAAGTATTTCGCCTTCTGGCAACATCTCCATTTTCCAATTCAGTTCTCCTCCGTCGCCGATTCTATAAGTTAACTTCGTCAGAGCAGCAGAAGCACCAAAAAAAAAAGTCCCATGAATTCGGAATCTCTCCCCGACTAATCAGCTCCAGTTAAAAAGTCCTTTTTTCTTCGATTTTCAACAGAACTAAGTTTAAACTTACCGCGCTTCTTCGAGTAGTGATAACATAATCACTATCACTATCATCATCACTGGAAACATCGTCACTTGATGCGTCCCGGTCACTCGCAGAATCAGAAGTGAACGATGAGTCAGTAACGGAATCGTCCGATACGTCGACTTCGTCAGTGTCATCTACTGCCGACTGATTACGCAGTCTGCGTTGTCGATGAGGGAAACACTCGGACCAGCAAACCGCTGAAATCACAAAAATACTTTTGAGGCGCAACGACAACGGATTTAACACAGAACAAAAACTCCTTCCAAAATCTGTTTCTTTAAAAGATGAGGACCCGGAAAGCACAATACCGAAAGCAACAATAGACGGCTTCCTCTTTCGAGAATTGCGCAGAAGAAAGCTGATGGCGCTTGTAAAATGTATCAATATCAAATTACCAGCAAAAAAAAAACGAAAAAAATGATTCTTAGAGATTTTTCCCACGTGAAATTAGACCCTAATCAATCCATGTTCGCGGCGTTAAAAAGGAAGAATGTAACACAGCTACTAAAAAAACCTGACCACCAGTAATTATTAATTCAAAAAGTAACTAACCCGTTCTTCGTCTTCGAGAAACTGCATTTGTGGCATTGTCTTTCTGCAATTTTCGTAAACTCAAAAGAAGCAAAATAACAAAGGTATACAGAAAAAACTATGAAAAAGCTATAGGAAGCCGAGGCTCCTCGGCTACAAAATATATGATTTCTCAAATTTTCACTTTCTTTTACAAAATGAAATGCAGTCCCCCAAAAAACGCAACACATATCCAAATGCCCGGCAGTCATAAGCACGGACTTTCATCTGAAAATTCTGCGGCCACAAGCAACGTCTATTTCACTGATTCTTGATTCTGACGTTTCGAAGATGTCTCGATGTTCCCAATTGCTTTTATTTCATGTGATTGCGTAGCAAGGCCTTTCCTTCGATTATTTTCCATTCGATATCAACAACAACAATTACGACGAAAAAATACTGGGTCAGAAATAGTGGTGCTGAGTTGCTTAAAATGTCTAACAGTAAGGCTCCTTCATTATACTACAGCGCGCATTGGCAACCTCTGGCGACAAGCGGGCCTGATTTACATACTTAAGCTCGCGGGCCACTTTTTAATAAAACCCAGGTAGCAATGAACCAGGCTTGTCCGTGCGTTCATGTGTTTTTACGCTAAATTTGACGCTGTCAGATCATTAATTGTATGAATGGCTGTTGCTTTACAGTTTAGCACATGCAGCTCATGTGCCTGTCTTTTGCTATTTTCTTGCATGCGGGGCAAAAGGGCGTCGGCTATGTTCCATCATGGCTTTCTGCCTTGCTGAACTGAAAGTTGGTGACAAAGTTTACTCACTTCTGAACCCACATACACACATACACATGCTCTCGACACCTTGCATTTTTTCGTTTGCACCGTATGCAAAAACGCATAAAAACATAAGTTTTTATCAGGTTGTTCATTTAGTAAAAAAAAAAAAAAGCAATAGCAGGTTAATGTGAGCTCTGGGCTTGAGCTTCTGACACAAGGTTGTTGAAATCTGGGCTTATGCCAATGATAGAGTCTTAAAGTATTTTTCAAA